AGAACTTTGCTTGTCCTCAAGCAATGCAAAACAAGATGTCACCCCAAACTTAGTTTTAAAAATTCATCTTTGATTAAACGCAAATTGTCTCTTTCTAATTTGGATAGGACTCATGGTTTTTCAGCAAGGCTTATATTGAGGTTTTTCAAAGAAAAAGCTAAAGGCACAATGGGGCGAACTAGGATTTTCTTAAACATAAAGGGAGGTTCATTTAGGCTAGCTAAGCATGATCAAAGAAGACCTCCATCATATATGTGAGATCTGCAACCTACATATTTAATCAAGAAACAAAGCAAGTTCTAGAAGTGCAACAACAAATGAGATTAATTTCACACAACAAGAATTGTTATTCATGAGGCTCAAATCTCACCAAGGTACTTTAAAGTGAACATGTCAAACAATCAAGCTTACAATCAACTTTTTCAGAACTATATGCACAAAGTAGCAAGATTACCTCATTTTGAAAATTACAAGTGTGACAATCATGTGAGAATGGGAAAAACAACTTAAAAAAATAAAAATCAGAATTCACAAAATTGCAATCAAATATAGTGTATTCATAGAACTCAGTTCATGATCTAATATAATATTTTTGTGTTTTTTCTAGGAATTTTTCAGTGTATGTGAAGCTAAACTCATGAATAAGAGGTACAAAATTCACCTCACTTTCATGGCAGCTTGTGCAAGTGTCAAATCCAAGTGCTTGGGTGTTGTGTAATGGTGACATATTCTGCACAAACAGAATAGTTAAACAGAAAAACAGAATAGTTAAAATATAGAAATATAAAAGTAAATGAAATTTACACTTCATTACTACTGAAAAAGTACTAAAATAAGTTCTGAACAATTGAGAATTAACTACTAACGTGCAGAAATTAAAGTTCCGAAATGCTAAAAATTACATAATCTGAAAAATAAAAGAAAGCTAGTGAAAACTAAATTCCTAAACTACTCTTCTGCATCCTCTTCATCTGAAAACTCTTTATCATCTTCTTCTTCACTCTTATTATTTTCTTACATTTTAGCTCTTGGGGGAATGTTGAAGCAGGTGTTGAAAAGAGGTAGATTGTTGAATGTGGTGGCTCTAAGGCATTGGACATTTTCTACTTTTAACTCATAAAGTTGCTCTTTTGTCATGCCCATCTTTTTACCAATGTTCAACATTATATTTTCCATCAACAGAATTCCAGCCTTGTTGCTCTCCTGTCAGGCATTCTGCCTCTCAGCCAAGGAGTCTTATTTGTCCAAATTTTTTTGCAATTGAGGCTTGAGTTTGAGAAGAGAATCCTTCTTAAACTTTGTAGGAATTGGTGAGGCAACAGTGACTAGTGTGGTGGCATAAATTTCCTTTACCATAGTTGTTGTAATAGGAGGATTGACCTTACTCTTCTCATAATATTCCCCAAAATTTACTCCAGCATCTTCACAAAGTAGAGTAATCAGCCCTGGAAATCCCAATGAGTCTCTTTTTGTTTTCAAAATTGTTTTCATGCAGCTGTTGATCACTTCTCCTACATTGATGTAAAAATCACTCACTATGGCAAAAATGAGTTCAACTCTCTTGACAGCAATGGTGGAGCTATGAATCACTGGCATAAATGAACTGAGTATGAAAATACTCCATACTTTTACAAAGGCATTAGCATAGAATTCTTGTGTAATATCCTTGGACCCTTTTCCAGCTAAGGTAGTAAAAATCTCCCATCCTTTTTTCTGAATCTGTTCAAAAAATTTAGGGTGCTCTCTTTTAGCTAGATCAAAATTCCTATCTTAAACTCTTTTCCTCCTCAAGATATTGTCCTTAAAGTAGTTCTCATGTGTAATGCTCTTGAATCTAGGATCATGATTAGGTATAGTCCTTAAAAAAGGACCAGTTGAGAATCTTCCCCTCTTAGATCTTGGAGTTCCTCTAGGTGTGCTTGCCATGTCCTTTTTGCTGAAATCATAAATTAATATAACAGATATGAATTTCAGAACTTAATAAAATTGTAACAAGTATTACAGCAATCTCAACAATTTTTCTAATTTGTAGCATAGAGAATATTATGTCCAAGGGCTACATTCAATTTAAACAATTCATCAACAATTCATTACAATTGTAGCAATGTATAGGTGCACATTGTATGTTCATGCTTAGCTCAACCCCTATTTTTCATGTGCAACATGTGCAGAATCAACATTTATTGATAAAAATGTGGAATTCAGAATCAATCAATGTAGTGCATTAGATGAAAAATTTCAGAACAATCAGCTCAAAAATTTTCACTGCTAAAAATCACTTCAGTACTTATGAAATTCATTCTAAAAACCCTTTTCTGCATAATTGATTAATAAAAAAATATTTCAGAATATTTCCAGCAATTTCAGATATTAAAATGCAGAAATTTCACAAGAATTTGCTTCAAAAATCAGATCTCATAGTCAAGCACAAGTGCAGCAACATGTTCATGATAAATCCATATTTTTACTAGTATTTTACCATAGTTTTAATCCATTTGGTAAGGAAAATATGTTGGAGAAAGCAAAAAAAATTATAAAAATAGAATGATTAAAGGTTTTCTTTAAATATATAGTTATTTTAGCATTTGTGAATTTTATGGGTAGGAATTAATAATTCAATCATGGTTTTGTAGAAAATTCTAAGCAAATTTCATGAAGATGGAAGATCAATGAAAAGATAGAAGAAAAGTAGCAAGTCTGGACTCAAAGAACAAGGTTTATGGAGTTTGAGCTGGGCGTAATCACTATTGTCAGTGAAAGTGAGTGTTCCAGAGAAGTTTCTCAAAAGAACACAGTGCGCGTTGTCACTTTCGCTAGTGAAAGTGAGCGTTCCAGACAAGTTCCAAACATTGCATGATGTGCGTTGACACTTTTGCTGGTGAAAGTAAGCGTTCCAGAGGGACTTCAATCTTAGTAGAGTTGCACATTACCACTTTCGCTAGTGAAAGTGGATGTTCCAGAGAAGCTCCATACATAGCGAGTAGTGCGTTATCACTCTCGCTAACAAGAGTGATTGTTTCAGAGAGACATGTAGCAAGGCAACTTACGCGTGGCCACTTTTACTCATGAAAGTGAACACGCGCACAACTTGACTTCCAGCGTGACCACTTTTATGAAGGAAAGTGATCGTTCTAGTCTTAGAGAACACCAGATAAGCCTCTGCGTGGCTACTCTGGTGAAGAAGAGTAGTAACACGCTCATGACAGAAAATTTATAAATTGAAGAAACTTTGGATCTTTTGTTCATTTTTCATTTTCACTTTGTTTCATGGTGTGGAGAGAGTCTGAGAGAAAGATTGGGGACGAACACCGAGCTTTAACCTAGAGGAATCGGATTGAAGATCGGTTAAAGATACTTCTTATGCGTTCTTTCTCTTCTTCTCCTTCTTTTTCTTTGTCTGCTATAATGGCTATGTAATTTCTTCATAGTTAGGGATTGTGGATCCAAAACGAACGTGTTGAATTGATTCTGGATCTAGATTTCAAGTAGTGGAATGAATTGAGTGGTTGATTCTGCATTTTACGTAGTAATTGAATAGAAGTTTGATTAACTAATTGCAGAATAACTCTTATCAATGGAAATTGAATTTGTTCTTCAGATCTAAATCAATTTCTAAGATTATAGCTTTCTTAGGGATAAGAGAACTTGATCTTGCAATCTTCTGGTTTCTTATACTTAAAGCAACATTGAATTGAACCAGATCTAAGGAATTAGAATGATTTGATTGAATGTTAGGTTCACTGAGTTACGGAATTAACCTTTGAATAATACAACATGAAACTGATTGTCATTCTTTCTAATTTCTTGAAAGTTCAGAACTTTATTGATTCAACACTGATGTTTTGGTGAAAAAACTCCCTATCTATGTCTTCCATATCTGTTCATCACACATTTGTATGTTTAGTGTTCTGTTTTTCTTCTGATTTTAATATTTGCCAATTTTGATTCCAAACACTCTCTGAAATTAGTGAAGCTCAACTAATTGTGGCCTTTTGAAGTGAAAATTGAACACTTTTATTCCCTGAGATCGATACTTGGGACTATAATATAGTTCTATCATTTTTATAACTTGCTAAATCAACACTAGTACACTTGCTAGTCAAATCTACTTCTCTTTAGAAGTCTAACAAATTTTTGGCGCCGTTGCCGGGGAATATTGTTTTCAATATCATTAGTAACAAGAAAGTAATTAGATTAAGCATTTTTCATTCTTTTAAAGTGTCTGCAATATTAGATTACATTTAGAATTTTTCTGTTCGCAATCAGTTGAAATAGTTAATTTCGTATTTGTGTAGTTCTAATTTCTGATTGATTTTATATTGTTGTAAGTAGTTACTTTGCATTTGTATATTGTGAATTAGTACAGTTTTCTGTTTTCCTCTACTATATCTGTAATTTTTTTAATGGTATATGCGTAGCAAAAATAAAAATAAATCAACTTTGGTCTTTGATCCTGATATAGATATAACTTTGAGAAGATTAAGAAGAGAGGCTAGAGTGGAAAATTTCTTAGGAAGTGATAGTGAATTAGAGGTTATGCAATCTCTAGAGATTCAGAATACTCCTATCCAAAAAGGAACACCTACACCTCAAGGACAGTTAACTCCAGAAATAGAGATGGCAGAGCAACATAGGATGAGAACATTAGGAGACTATGCAATTCCAAACATGCAGGGTTATAATTCTTCAATAGTTAGGCCAACCATTCAAGTTAATCACTTTGAAATTAAACTAGCCTTGCTACATACAGTGCAACAAGACCAATTTTCAGGTGGAATTTCTGATGATCATAAGCTGCATATTTCAAATTTTTGCAGTTTTGTGATACCATAAGAATGAATAGAGTAAGTGAAGATGCCATAAGACTGAGATTGTTTCCATTTTCTTTGAGAGACAAGGCTAAATGCTGGTTACAAGCACAACCATAAGGAAGTATTACAACTTGGACAGAGCTTGTGAACAAATTTCTAACCAAGTACTTCCCTCCATCCAAAGCAACCAAATTGAGAGGAGAAATTACATCTTTTGTGCAGCAGGAAGGAGAATCATTGTATAAAGCATGAGAAAGATATATGGAACTACTGAGAAGGTGTCCACATCACTGTATTCCAGATTGGATGCAGTTGGAGACTTTCTACAATGGGATGAATGCAGCAACAAGAACCATGGTTGATGCAGCTGCAGGAGGCTTTTTAAACATGAAATCTTTAGAAGAAGCTTAGAGAATCATTGAGATGATGGCATCATCAATGTACCAGAACTCAAACTGAAGAAATGCAGGGAGAAGTACTGGATATGAAGCCAAGATTTTAGAAACTTTTCTTGCACAGAATCAACTGCAAAACCAGATGTTTTCAGAACAAATAGTTGCCTTGACTCAACAGATCAACAATCTACAATCTGGAAGTGTGGGAATAAATTAACTAAGTTATGATTTTTGTGGAGGAAATTATGCCAATGGTGCATGTGACGCATCTACAAGTGAACCACAAGAGCAAGTGAATTATATGGGAAATTTTCAGTGACAACAACCTTTATTCCCACCTGGATTTCAATTCTCAAACAATATAAATCAGTAGTATTCTACTTGGAATAATCAATATTCTGCTGCCAAGAATTCTAACTCTACTTTACCTTTTTCTAATGCAGGTCCAGCAGCATAACAACCTTATTTTCAAAGGAATACAGCTACTCAATCTCAAGGAAATCAGAAGTTCTCCAAGCGTATGACTGAAAGGTTGACTGAGATGGAGGAAACTATGCTGCAATTCATAAAAGTAACCCAAACAAGTTTCAAGAATCAAGAAGCTTCTATGAAGAAGTTGGAAACACAAATTGGACAGCTAGCTGAACAACTATCCAACAGAGATGAAGGAAGATTTCCAAGCAACACAGTAATAAATCCAAAAGAGTAATGTCAAGCCATAACTACAAGGAGTGGAGCTGTGGTTGCAAGTCCTAAATTCGCAGAAAAGAAAGCAAGTGATGTAGCAGAAGAAAGAAGAATTAAACAAGATCTACAACAAGGAAATTTCAAATTATTGAAGAGAGACCATTCAGAAGAAAAGGTAGAAGTTGCTATAAATTCTAAGAGGTAGACCAAGAAACAACTTTTTGAAGATGCTTGCAAGCCAATAGATCTAGAAAAATACAAGAGGCTGCCTTATCCTCAAAGAGTCAAAAATCCTAAACAAGAGGAACAATTTGAGAGATTTTTGAATTTTTTAAGAAATTATAAATTAATATTCCTTTTACATAAGCTTTGGAGCAAATGCCATCATATGCAAAGTTGTTGTTAGCAATCTATACTAGCAAGTGCACTAGGATTGCAGCAAGTGATGTGTCAGGCTAGAGATTTATTATTGAGTAATCTATAATATTTTATACTTGTTCAATGTTAATTGAAGGATTATTTGGTATTGGAATAGATTTAGATGGAGTTTGAAATTATTTTTAAAAAAAAAAAAAAAGTGAACAGTACCGTATGAACAGTGTCGGATGAACAGTAAAACCGCCTATGAACAATGCAAACCGCGTACAAACCGTGTATGAACAGTGCAAACCGCGTATGAACAGTGAAAACTGCGTATGTACAGTGACTGCTGACGTCATCAGTGACATCATCATGACGTCATGGCTGACGTCACATACGCGCGTACATACGTGTACAGTACGCGTACAGTGCGTGAACAGTAGGCGGTGAACAGTGTTTCCGGCGATGAACAGTAAATTCCGGCGGTGAAATAGTAAATTCTGAAAATTTTCTATAAAAAGGGGGCTTCACACGAAATTTTCATTTCTTCACCCCTATCCAAGGTTCTCAAAGGTTCTAAGGCCAAAAACTACCATTTCTCTCATACTAAACCTTCCTAAACTTAGATTTCTCGCCAGATCTGAGATCCTACGTCTATTCTGAAGGATTTTAAGAGAAACTCCGTTCTAAAGCCAAATCTTCGGTGAATCTTGCTATAAAACAAGTAATATTCGGTAGATCTAGTGTGAATCGTCGTTCTGAGGTAAGGGGAGTTTACTTTAACCTGTGAACTACGTTTTGAATGGTTTAATATGCTATTTTAAGATGTTTTGATATGATTTTGTTAGATCTATTGAATAAAAGCTATTTTCTAAGCTGTAACTGCTGTTAATTGATTTAAAATGCTGAGATTTTGGCTGATCTATCTTAAACTTGCCTTAGCTGAGCTGTTAAAATAATTTTGGCGGTGTGCATCATACTGAGATATATGTTTTGCATCATTATAGAGCCGAGTTACATGTTTAGGTGGGTAGACGTGTAACGGTAAGTTCATGCTGAGCTGCTGTGCTGTGCTGTCTGGATCCAGATACCGGAATGGGTCGCTCCCGGACCGGCTCGGTTCCTTCTGGATTACTTAGGCTGTGAAACCAGTTGGAAACCGTTTTCATGCTGTGCATTAGATGGGCTGGAAATGCATGGGGCTATTGCTGTGAGAAATATTTTACTTTATATATATGATTTTATTTTATTTTTGTAAGCTCACCCTTGCATTTCTTTCTATGTCGTTGTGTGCGTGTGTACTGCGATGATCGTACGGTGGTACGTGAGCAGATGTAGCAGGTGTTGCATCTACTTCACAGGCTGAGGGGCCAGTGAAGAAATGATTGAAGCTGGGGTCGAGTAATATTGCATCAAAGTCCTTTTTCCTATATTTTGAGACCTCATGTAGAGGGAGCTACGTAGTATAATTTTGGGTATTTTTGAATATTATGAACTAAATGTAATATTATGTTGTTCTGTTGGATATTTGTTGTAAGAAACTCTGTTTTATTTTGAATGAGAAGAGAATTTCATAATTACATTTTCTATACTTTATTTCAAATAAGTTTGTGATGTAGAAACAATGTTCTCGGTTCCTTATAAAAGGGGTCGTGACATGATGAGTAAATTTAAGATCCAAATATCGTCTCCACAGGGAATTTAGGTTTCAAGTACCACTTCACAGGATTATAACCATTTGAGCCATACGAATTTTGGAATGAGATTTGTAACATATAACAGCAGCAAACTAGAACAATTAAAAGTAAAATGAACTTGCAGAAAACAAGACAATGAACACACAGTTATATGATAACAGAGGGAGAAACCATAGCTAGGGAATTGCTTCACCAAAACTCCAATGTTTAATCAATAAAGTTCTGAATTAACAAGCAATTGGAAAGAATGACAATCAGTTTCACTTTATACTATTCAGAGGTTAATTCCTTAACTCAGTGAACCTAACATTCAATTAAACCATTCTAATTCCTTAGATCTAATTCAATTCAATGTTGCTTTAAGTGTAAGAAACCAAAAGATTGCAAGATCAAAGTTCCTTATTCCTAAGAAAACTAAAATCTCGGTGATTGGTTCAGATCTGAAGAACAAATTCAATTTCCATTGACAAAGGTTCCTCTGAATTTAGTTAATCAAATTTCCATTCAATTCACACGTGAAGTTCAGAATCAATCACTCAATCTATTCCAAAGCTTGAAATCCAGATCCAAATCAATTCAACATGTTCATTTCAGATCTACAATCCCTAACTATGAACGAATTACACAGCCATGGCAGCAGAAGAAGAAAAAGAAAGAGAAGAAGAGAAGAAGAAACTCAGAAACGCCATAGAAGCTTGCTCCACTCCAATTCCTCTTCGTGAAGCTCCAAGATCTGAATCCCCACTCCTCTCTCTCACTTCCTCTAACCAGGAACTAACTAAAAAAACTGAAAAATGAACAGAATCCCTTTTTTTCCGGATCGCTTCTGGTATTTATAAAATTTCCCAGATTTTCACGTTATCACTTTTATGAGAAATAGTAGTTACGCAGAGAGTTTTTGGTTGCGCGTTAACACTTTTCCCAAAAATAGTGGCCACGCGCATTTTTCTGATATTGAGAGCTCTCTGGAACTATCACTCTTGATGATAAAAGTGACAACGCAGAGCCAAGATAGTTGCGCGTTATCACTTTTTCTGATAAAAGTGACTACGCGCAGTTCGCCAAGTTGAAGACTCTCTGGAACGATCACTTTTGATGACAATAGTGGTTACGCAGAGCTTTCCTGATATTTTGCCTCTCTGGAACTATCACTTTTAATGATAAAAGTGGTAACGCCCAGACTTCACTTCTTCTTTGAGCTCTGAAGTGATCACTTTCACTGACAATAGTGATCACGCCCAGTCTGCAATTTCTTATTCTTGAGTTTTTGGAGTCCAGACTTGCTTCTTTCCTCTTCCTTGTCATCAAACTTCCAAGAATATGATCCTTGCTCAATTTATTCCTACAAAAACAAGATTAAAAACTTAATTCCTAAGCAAAAATTTCACGATTGCTAAAATAACTACATATGTAAACAAAATTCAATTCCTTCTCTTTTTTTAAGTTTTTCTGCTTTCTTTATATATTTTTCTTATCATTTGTGTTAGAATTATGCTAAAATATCAGTCAAAATATGGATTCATCAAAAGTTTATAAAGGAACTACTCCCCAGAAAAAGGAAGCTAGAGCATGATAAGACAGTGCCATTGACAGAAGAATGCAGTGCCATTCTTAAGAGAAAACTTCCTCAAAAACTCAAAGATCCAGGATCCTTCAGCATACCATGCGAAATAGGACAATTTACTATAGGAAGAACATTGTGTGACTTGGGAGCAAGCATTAACTTGATGCCTTTAGCTATTATGAAGAAATTGGGCATAGAAGAAGTGAAACCAACCAACATCACGCTCTGAAGAACCCTAATCAGAAATTTCAAAATTAGAGGGAGAATTACCTAAATTTGAAGTGTAGAAATGATGTAATCCTACTCGCAGATGATGAAGAAACAAATAATCAACAAAAATACAGTGAATAATGAGTAGGAAAATCAAATTTTTAGAGCTGGGTTTCAGGGTTAGGGTTTGGATGCCTCTGCATTATCACTTTGAAAGGTTTAAATGGCTACGCAGAGTGAGTAGACACTTTAAATAGGGAAAGTAGACACGCTGGAAATTTTGTAATTATTCAAACGTGAGCGTGTTCACTCTAAGCATTCAAAGTGTCTACTTAAATGGAAATGTGTAAATCACGTGACCACTTTAAGTGTTTGAAGTGAAT